CAAAGAAACCTCAAATTCCCCCTTCATGCTCATCTCAACCTCTCCTCTGGTCCTCTAGCAGCGCCAGGTCCTCTGAGCTGATGCTGAGGCCGTCTGACCAAACCCTGGCAGAGATAAACAGTTAATTTTTTCTGTAGGGACCCTCTCTCTCGCCACAGTCCAATCAGATTGGCCCTTTCTGCTGGGACAATTTGCTACTGGCTGACTGGGCCCAAACAAAACCAGGGAAAAGGGAGACGGGTACAAACGGGGGATCCCAGTAGAAGCTGGCATCGTTCCCCATCCATCGGAGAGCTGAATGCCCCTCATACACACACAGGACATCAAGAGACGCTTTACATAGAAATGAAATGAGTGGACGAGAATGATGTTTACCACTCGGGATTGGGAATTTTTGTAAAAAATTATCTTAATTTTTTTGGTCATGTTTATACAGGCAAATAAATTCAGAAAGATTTTTAAATCAATAAGCAACAAGAAAAAACTCTCAATAAAACTCTGGATATTTCTCCAGTATGCCTTAGAAGTTCAAGACAAGTATGCAAGATCCAAGCGCCTCATTCCTTCCTTCCTTTCTTTCCCCCATTTTCCTCACCCTCTCCCACCCCCAATTTTCCCACCATTTGCGCAAAGTAAATTCTCATTAAGAACCAATTTGTTTTCAGATGCTGGCCTGGTCCGGTTGCCGTAGCAACGAGCTGGGAGGCAGCGAGCAGCACTGGCAGTGGAATGGACAGCACCAGATCCAAAGCCCCCAGCGCAAAAAAAAAACCCTCTCTTTGCCAGGCTCCACTAAGGCCATTCTGCCTGGCACAATGCGGACTGACGGAGTCCATTCTGCGCTTTACAAATGGTGAGGAAGCTCCACTGGAGAGGCCTCAAGACGAGTCATACGTTTTCACACACACTCCTCTCGGCCTGAGATGTGCTTAACACGCCAGTTTGATTTGAGGTAAACAACGACGCCTTGATGCGCTGTCTGCAACTTTAGTAAACAGAACGAGAGCTCAGTATGCATAAGAATGACAGTGTACTTCTACATATGATGACAATAAAGTACTTTTAAAGTACAATAAAGTACTTTTATTTGCAGTACTCTATATTTACTTTATTTTATTCTACTATATGTTTAAATAGATATTATACTATACATATATTTTACATACTATACATTAGACTATATTTACTGCACATTTTAAACTATATCTTGTATTTAAATCTGTTTTTATTTACTGTAGTTTTTACACTACTCAAAAAATTATAACAAAAATAAAGTAAAACAGAACCTAGAGTGATATGGTGATGGGAAAAAAAATCAGAAAACTTTTGCGTACCCCACAGAAATGTTTGCAAAACTTTTTGCATTCCCCTGCAAAACCCTTGCAAAAAAACATTTGCTCGTTCTACCGAGAAAGTTTGCTTTTGCTTGCAAAATTTTTGCACTCCATTCAGTAACTTTGCGTTTACTTGCAATATCTTCGCGTTCCACTGAGAAAATTTGCATTTGCTTGCAAAATCTTCACACTCCACTAAAAACTGTTTGTTTGCTTGCAATATATTCGCATTCCACTGAGAAACTTTGCATTTGCTTGCAAAATCTTTACGCTCCACTAAAAACCTTGCGTTTGCTTGCAAAATCTTTGCGTTCCACTGAGAAACTTTGCGTTTGCGTGCAAAATCTTTACGCTCCTCTAAAAACCTTGTGTTTGCTTGCAAAATCTTTGCGTTCCACTGAGAAACTTTGCGTTTGCTTGCAAAATCTTTACGCTCCACTAAAAACCTTGAGTTTGCTTGCAAAATCTTTACGCTCCACTAAAATCCTTGCATTTGCTTGCAAAATCTTTAAGCTGCTTGCAATATCTTTACGCTCCACTAAAAACCTTGCGTTTGCTTGCAATATCTTTACTCTCCACTAAAAACCTTGCGTTTGCTTGCCATATCTTTACGCTCCACTAAAAACCTTGCGTTTGCTTGCAAAATCTTTACGCTCCACTAAAAATTTTGCATTTGCTTGCAATATCTTTGTGTTCCACTGAGAAATTTTGCATTTGCTTGCAAAATCTTTGCTTTCCACTGAGAAACCTCGAAAGATGATTTACATTCCACCAAAAAAACTTTGCATTCACTCAAAACATGTTTGCGTTTCCCAAGAAACTTTGTGTTTGCTCACAAAACATTTACGTTCCCCTGAGACACTTTGTGTTCACTTGGAAAACATTGAAAATACATTTATGTCCATCCAATAAACTCTGCATTCGCTTAAAAATGTTTGTGTTCCTTCAAGAAACTTTGGGTTCAACTTTGTGTGTTTCAACATAACATTTTGGGTTCATGGGAAAAATCTTTGCGTTCCCCCAAGAAACACTGCGTTTACACACAAAATGTTTGCATTCCCCAAGAAACTTCGTATTTAACTGAAAAATGTTCACGTTCCCCTGAAAAATTTTGCGTTCATTCACAAAGCCTTACATTCCCTTGCAAAACTTTTGCGCTCCATCTCTAAACCTTTGCATTACCCATACTTTGCGTTTCACAAACAGTTTCTGAGAATTTATTTTTTCTTAGGAGCTGTGCTTGGAAATATACCAAGATGACTGCCAAGTGACTTCCGAGCAACTTGCCCACTCTACTTTACTCTCCTAAATAAAGCAAATAGATTTAAATAATTATGTGTCAATCAAACCAGTACATAACAGCCTGAAAATCCTGAAATGTCTTTGTTTGACTTCACGTTACAAGTTCATTGGGGGTGGAGACCAGATGGTCCATGAGCCTTTAGGGCTTGTAAGCCATATATTTAGATTAAGGACCTTTGACTGCAATTTGTGTTCATTCATTACAGGTATCAGCTGTGTGTAACAAAAGGTCCTCACCCTAATTCACAGCCTATTAACCTACAAATAAAGCAGGTCAAGCTCAAGGTCCGCTAAACCGAGGTTATTAAGTACCATGGATTAATCCCGACTCACATTAGGAATCATAGTAGAGACCATGAATTTACAACAGCTTCAATCAATAGATAACACAAGGAAATTATTTACACATTATTTGTCATTAAGATTTACACACATTTTTTAAGTAATCCAAACAATCATAAATCCATAAACGGTCTTGAAAACACCTTGGAATCCATAACATCCAAACATGCTAAAAGTGCTGCACAAATCATAAATCAACAACCCAGAAAGTCATAAAATGTTGCATTCTGTGGTATTTGGGAAAAGATTGTGTTCACATTTATCAACATAATGTTTTTTTTCTGCAATCTGAGGGTGAAAGTGATGGCTTTACAGAGTAAATAAACAGAAAACAGCACAGTAAATAGCCCTGAATTTGCCAGTTATTCAGACTTTTGCACTGAATTACACAATATGTCTGAACGTGTGGTTTTAAGGAAAATGAGAGTTAAATGCCCAGACTTCATTTTAAACCAATGGCTTGTGAGCTGTGTGGCAATTGTAAGTCACGCAAAGACACATATGTGACAAAATAACTAAAAATGCATCTAAGAACTATATATAGCTCACAAATCATTGGTTTAGAATGAAGTCTCGATGATATATTTTGTATATTTTTGTATATTTTGTGGATGATATATATGATATAATGAGTAAAGTTATACAGATGTCTACTACGTTTATACAGTATAAAGAAAGTATAAACTGACATATGGGACATATAGCCTATTTACAGTTTTTGTCAATTGCTAACAAGCGTTTAACAATACTTAAAGTACTTTTTCTAAACTCTTAACACAGCAACACACCTACATCACACAATTAGTCAAATAGTTAATTTTCTGGCCAAAACCACATTTTGTTAAATAAATACAAACTCTACGTTTCAAAATGCTGAATACCTTTTTCTACATTTACTAACTCTATCAAAACACAGCAAACCCTAATCAAAATCGAGTCATTCAGTCAAAACATTGACACAGGTTTTCTATCCAATAGGAACATATAGTCGATCATAGTGCATAGACTGTCAAAATGATAACAATTAATGGCATTACAAAAACTGCATTACTTGTCATGTCTCAGTTCGACCTGTATAGATCATACAATATGAGATCCACTAAAAAAAAATAAAAAAAATAATAATAATAATTCAGTCAGCTGAACTCTTCATTTTTTTTGTGTGTGTGTAAATGTGTGGATTCATTTTAGATCGTATGTGTACAGCATTACCAAGTATGTTTACAGACACAATGAATTCGACTTTACGACGGGAGCTTCCAGTGCAGAAGAAAGTATTGACATGACAGTGCAGACATACACAGGAATTATAACAGTAATATAAGAAAAACAGAAAATTATGGTCTGTAGCGCAGACCAGAAGGCAACAGTACGAAGAGAGAGTGGGCTGGGTGTGTGGGGTCCAAAGTGATTTTCTTAGCCCTTTTCCTCACTCTGGAGGTGTACAGATCTTGGAGGTTTGGCCAATAATCGTCTCAGCAGTCTTGGCTGTCTGTTGTAGTCTCTTGATGTCTGATTTGGTAGCTGAACCAAACCAGACAGTCCTGGTCCAACTTCTCTCCCTCGTCCAGACATTTTCTTTCTTTTTCTGCTTCTCTGTGTTGTTCTGTATTGTTTTGAACAAAACCAATCCAGAGAGTGCCTTTTTATTGTCAAAAATAAAATCTATTATTTATAAATAATGTTTTAAATATATATGTTATAATCATCACATACATAATATTATAATATTAAAAATGTGTATATTAACAAATTTAACAATATGAATAGAATTAAATAACTACTATTTTAACTTTAAAATGGCTTATGGGCAATTATTACCTGTGCACAACATCCTAGACACAATGAATGTGGTTTTAAACGAACGTCTTGTCAATTAATCTTGTGGTTTAGTTCAGTCCAACCAGCAATCATCACCGCTTATTCTGTTTCTATGGTTACAGTACGCGACACTGTCGTGAACTACTCTACGCTTTACGGCAGCCGGTTGTCAGTTGCTGCATGTGGCTCCATGTGAGTGCAGAATAACAGAGAACGGTGAAGAACTGAATGTATTCTGCAAGCTTTTCAGTGTCTGATAAACTATCACATAATAGTATCTCGTAAGGCAGCTCTTTTGCATGTTAAAGCGCATATACATATATGTTTTTTGTGATTTAGCCTTTTGGCGAAGTGTAACTGTGCGTTCCGGTGTCATCTGTGGTTCAGAGATGTTGTATTTCATCGGTCTTGGTCTGGGCGATTGTAAAGACATCACTGTTAAAGGTTTAGAGATCGTCCGGCAGTGTAGTCGTGTTTATCTGGAGGCTTACACGTCCATACTGACCGTCGGGAAGGAAGCTTTGGTATGTGGATGATTAAACACATTATAATATCTGAATCCTGACAGTTGACAGCTCGATTTACATCACAGTCAAAACCAGATGATTGCATTTTGGAATATTATATAAGTTAATATAAGACGTAAGATGGAGAGAAACTCACGTATTCTGCAGTATTCTTGTCGATGACAAATAATGTTGCATGAAATTATATATATATATATTTTTTTTTAAATGTAGTTTAAAACACACGTGCCAAGAAATGTTTCAGACATTTTTTAAAAGGTTTATTCCATATTTTACATAAAATATGCTTTAATACTAAAAAAAAAAGTATTCAACGTTTTCAAACATATATTTCATAGTTCACAACATTATGAATATTATTTTGGGCTTACTCAGTTTGACCTGAACTAGCAGTGTCTTATATATTTTGACCTTTTTATGAAATTTTTAAGAACTTTACTTTCCTTGACATGTAATCATGAAGCTCTACAGGTGTCCTCTGTGATATCATTTCCTGTTTAATAGTTGTCGTCACATGACAAGAAAATGGGCAACTTACTGCACCACACTGATTATTTGGCGGACAAAAGTTTTTTTTAAAAATAATTTTGTAATAAGAAATAATACTATATATTTATATATACAGTGGGTACGGAAAGTATTCAGACCCCCTTAAATTTTTCACTCTTTGTTATATTGCAGCCATTTGCTAAAATCATTAAATAATTTTGTAATAAGAAATAATACTATATATTTATATATATATACATATTCATAATTATAGTGTTAGCTTTATTGTTTTTTAAGATATTTTCCACCACCTTGACATTTTGGCTTCACAAAAAATATCAGAAACTATATTATTTGGAAATGAAAATTGTTTTTATTTATTTATTCATTTTCTTTATATATATATTTTGTTAATCAAATCTATTTAAATTAAAAGAAATCTTCCACTACCAGTCAGAAGTTTTTTTCTTTCAAGGTTTGTTTTAGCTCGTCCATAAAGAAATTTAGTTTCTTTTTTTTTTAATGATATATTTATTTTATTCATAATATTGCTTGTTGTTTTCGTCATTAGTAAGTCACTTTGGTTAAAAGCATCTGCTAAATGAATTAAAATATAAATATTTTTTAATTTACAAATATAATATTCAAATTTCATATGTCTATTCAAAAATAATATCAAGCAATAAAAATAATAATAATAATATCAAGCATTTAAGCGTTATCCTTTAGATCAAAACTTGGTACAATCTGATATGAAATTCAAATACATGTTCATCAGAAATACTAATATTTCGCACTCAGATTTACGGCGCCGTTGTGTTCTGTCTCAGGAGGAGTATTATGGGCGCGAGTTGCTGCTGGCAGACAGAGATATAGTGGAACAACAGGCGGATGAGATCCTGAAGGGAGCAGATGTCAGTGATGTGGCATTTCTAGTGGTTGGTGATCCTTTTGGGTAAGACTAACTAACTTCTTCACGATCTACAGTAGCCTGTCTCTGCTGTCATATTTAATCCATATATGATAACAAGTCAAGTCACCTTTATTTATATAGCGCTTTTAACAATACAGATTGTGTCAAAGCAATTGTACAGCATTAAATAGGAAAATAGTGTGTGTCAATAATGCAAAAAGGCAGTTCATCATTGAATTCAGTGGTCATCATCCAGCTCAGTTCAGTTTAAATAGTATCTGTGCAATCAAGTCGACGATATCGCTGGAAATTAAGTGAAATTAAATTAACTTCTCAACAAGTTCAAAGTTGTCCTGAACTAAAATATCCGCCAGTGAGGATTAACTCTCAACAGTACAGTTTGCCAACTTTCAGTTATGAGGTTTCTGTGCATATTGGTCATATGATGCACCTCATGTTGCCATTGTTTTGACTCACCCATAACTTGCCATCACATATTCCACAATCCCACAAGTGCAATGACTCATCTGGAAACCTAAATCCAGACATTACACAGACTTTCATCGGAAAGCTTTATCACTGGCCTATCGGAGTTATATTTTATTTTTTAGAAAAGAAATTATATGAGAAATTGCTGGAAATGTTCAAACTTATTTGGCTAATAAACTCCATTCTGATTCTGATCATGCCCTCAAGTACAATTAAGTGCACTTGAAAGCATGCACTCCTCAAAATAAATATCCCTTTCTACCATAAGTGTAATGAAACATCAGAAAAAAACAATCGGAAAACACTTTCTACAGCCTAACAGGAGATAAATAATGGAAATGTTTCCTATTATTCAGGACATTTGTGCCTGAAGAACCACAGAGTGGTTGAGCACCAAAGCTCTGGGGTGCAACGTTATCGCTCTTACGAGAAGTGGGATGTGGACGTCTGAGGTGTGGGTACTTTGGAAATTCTCCAGAAGAGATGAGCTAATTACGCCGCACTTTCCCGTCTCGGTCGCTTCTAGTCACGGTTGTGCTTTGCGTAGTGTTTGGCTCCAGCGTTTTTCCAGCCAAACCACCGAAACCCACATAGCGGGAGGGGGACGGGGGTCTGACTCCTCGTTTTCCTGCACTTAAGAATGTGTGGGTTTAATAAAGTTTAATGATATATCCAAGATCGAAAGGATAAGCATTTTTGGCGCAATTTGGATTACTTCCACATGTAAACAGCGCAACACAGTAGTAAGAAAGATGTTGATAAGTAGCCATTTTTCTGCGGTTGGCGCATGTTTTGGAGTTGTGTATGCAAAAAAAACAACTGCATTTCTTCTCTTCAGAGCTACGACCCACAGCGACCTGGTTCTGCGAGCGTTGAATGCTGGGATTCAGTATCGCGTTATTCACAATGCCTCCATCATGAACGCGGTGGGCTGCTGTGGATTGCAGGTAAGGCCCAAGTTTACCATTGTTCGGTGAATTTTTGCAAGCGAAATTCAGTCATTTCATTTAAATTGGAATCGACGCGATTTGGAATTTCATGTGAGGGTGAAATATTTTCCCATGCAAATTTTGCAACTGGTTCAAATTGGTCACGCAGATTCACTGCGTTGACCAACAGAAAGTAGTTCGCTTTGAAAGTGACTTCTGCTTTATACAACGCTACACGATTACCAACAGACCTTATTTGCCCGAAATTTTTATGAAAATTCGGTAATGCGACCGCACCTTAACTCAATGCTTCCCCATGGTGTCATTGTCAACATGTACTTTTCAGAGAATGTACTTCGCTATCGTGCGTCATTCAGGCCCAGTCTCTCGTGAAAATGATCAAACGGCATTACGGCCTTTGTGCCATAGGCATCCCAGCGGAGTCTATCAACGAAGCCTACTGGCCATCAATAATAGCCCCCTGTATTGACCTGTCAGGGCAGCTTTGTGTACCAAGAGGCCCCAGATGCCGCCCTAAGCTCACGATAGGCGTCTTCAGATGATCTGAGATCAGCGGTGCCATTTCTAAAAGATATTATTTAGGCAGGAAAAGCAAGTCCTAAATCATCTGCCACAGCTGCTGCTCTCAACCACAGAGGGATCTGGTAGCTTAACGCACGCTTTGCAGTTACTGTTTGAGTGTAGATCAATATGCACTAATTGGAAGCAATCAACAACAAGGGATTCCACAAAAAAGCATGACTTGAGACTTTCTACACCCAAAGTGTGTTGTTTTTGTTACCATCTGGTTTTGTTTCCAAATGATTGTATTGGAAGGATTCATTTTGCTCTGCTTCCCTATGACTAGGTAGTGGATTCTGAATGACGATCTTAAAAGTTGCAATGAAGGAAACGTAGTGACAGATCTTTTCTTCCACATTGTGACATACATCCGAGTGAAACCGATGATCAAAAATGGAAAAAAAAGTATCATTGGAACTTTCTATTCATTAGTTGTTGATTTGATGGAGGCAGATCTGAATGCAAAATTTGTAAACTAAATAAAAAAATTTGCATGGATCAATTGGTAACAACATGATCAGCTTGTATTTAGAAATAGGTAAGGTGAATTTTCATTTTTAATTTAAATGCCGAATTTAAATGTGTATTTCATCTAAAAATGAAACTTCTGTCCCCGTGTCGTTCCAAGCCTGACTGACTTCCATTCTTGCGCTGGATACAAAAGAAGATATTTTGACACATGATTCAAAAACACTGGACCTCATTGACTTTCATTGTGTGGACAAAAACATTTTTCATGTTCAAAAGACATTTTTCAAAACATCTTCTTTTCTTAGACTATCAGCACGCTAAAACCTGCAGAGCCCCACACATCACATGCGAGAAAAAATAGATATCATGTCCACAAAATAAAAATTTGTTTCCACAACAGATTGATTTGTTGTCATATTTTAATTATATACCATTTGCTGAACTTATTAATCGGTTCCCTTGTTTAGGTAAATTGAATCCATGCTTGTTCCCTTGTTTTAATTTTATTTGACCCAATGGCCACAATTTAACTAAAACAAGGGAGCAAATGAATAATTTGCGGGTATGATATCTTGTTTCTGTCAATGTTTTTCCCCCTTACATGTAATGTGCGGGGCCTGTAAATACTCTCTTCATCCCCTTTAAAGGGATAGTTCACCCAAAAATGAATATTCTGTCATTAATTTATCACCCTCATGTCATTCCAAACCCTTAAGACCTTCATTCAACAGAAATTAAGATAATTCTTTAATAAATCCGAGATCTTTTTGACCCTCCATGGACACAAAGGGAACTGAAATGTTCAAGGCCCAGAAAAGATCGTTAAAATAGTGGTTCAACCGTAATGTTATGTAGCTACGAGAATACTTTTTGTGCACAAAGAAAACAAAAATAACGACTTTATTCAACAGTTTCTTCTCTTCCATGTCAGTCAACATGCATTCACGACAGTACCACGGTGATGACAGAATTTTCATTTTTGGGTGAACTATCCCTTTAAGTCTCCACTGCTGAATTTGTTATAGATGAACAAAAAGGAATTTATCTAGGTCTCTAGTTGACCTCAGTAACCAAGTAGGTCAGGGGTGTCCAAACCTGCTCCTGGAGGGCCACTGTCCTGCAGAGTTTAGCGCTCAACCCTAATTAAACACACCTGAACCAGCTAATCAAGGTCTCCAGACTCACCAGAAAATTCCAGGCAAGTGTGTTGGTGATCGTTGGCCCTCCAGGAGCATAATTGGACACCCCTGGACTTGGAAGATGTGGGACGACTTCTATGTGTTTGTTCATGTCTCACTAATCCGTGCTTCAGAGGGTCTGTAGGACCTAAAGTAACCAGTAACAAGTCTGCCTGCTGTAATGTCACTTTGTTGTGTCAGCTGTGTGGCACTCTAGTGTTCAGAATGATGTCATGCTTACTGAATAACAGGAAGCACCTTGTCGGTGGCTAAACAGAGCTGGCTACTCGTGAACACAGTGACCAATGCAAAATAAGAACTAGTGTGAGTAAATAAAGTATGAATGTGGTTGCATTTTCCTCCTTAGCTGTACAACTTCGGGGAGACGGTGTCCATTGTGTTTTGGATGGACACATGGAGACCTGAAAGCTTCTACGATAAGATCAAAAAGAACAGGGATATGGGCCTGCACACGCTGTGCCTGCTGGGTAAGCACTTCCTTTGAGTCTTTGTGAACGAGATGTTCTAATTAGAAAGTTATATGATGTGTCACAATTGGCAGGTTCTCCGGTTTGTCCCTTGGCTCACGTCCTCAAGTATGTATGTGTGTTGCATCTTTAACAGTCACTGTAGCAATGAATGTGTCAAAACCAGATGAGACGACCCCCGTATTTTGACGTTCCGTCAAATAGGCAGTTCCCTTCGGGGCGCACATTAAACTTGGGCCCATTGCAAACGCTCTGGTACCCCCAAGGCAGATGGTCACAAATAATTTACGTTTATATCTCTGTGCCGTGGAGATTTCCAGCCAACTCTTAATAAACCCCCGTTTTCCAAAGTACCAGTGGGATTTCCCATTGGAAGGCATCTTTGGTAATGAATGTTGGTAAAAATCGTAGTCTGTTGGTCGGGGTAGTGTCTCATTGGCTGGCGGGACAGAGGGGGCGGGGCGGGAGTCCCCAGGTGCTTCCCAGCTGAGGAGTCTGAGAGCAAGAGCGATGACAAAAATGAGCAAGAGAGGGATCAGGGTTATTAACCTCATTATTCAAAAGCAAACAGAGGAAGGCGGGAATTGGACACCTCCCCGTCCACCCTTGGCCGCAAGCGCGCTTATCTAATACAATAACCTGCAGACACAACAAAAGCACACACACACACACACATAGACAAAACACAGGGACTATACACTGCATCCATTCATCATAACGTTGCTAACAAGACGTGGGCTATTAATCTAGCTGGCAAATATTGGTCAATTTATTTGCTGGTGGTTCTAAATTAAATTCAAAAATAAAATTAGATTTGTAACTCCAAAAAAGTCTAGTCCAATACAGTGTCTACACCATACATGAACTTTTTCCATTTCAGTTTTTGATTCACTACACTGCTACTCCAGCCACTTTTTCCTGTCCAACTACAAATTAAAGTGATTTTGTTTTACAAATATCATTAATAAATTCTTCATTCTAATTTGTCATTTTTTATGGATGTCATTTTTCTTTTCTTTTTTTTTCTTTTTACAAATTTTCAAATACAATTTTTTACAAATATCATTAATTATGAATTTTATGACAATTTTCTAGGTTCTGTTTTTGTCAAATATCATTAATTAATTATGCATTTTATGTCAGTTTCCCAGTTTCTAGTTTTTTCAGAAATAAAATTCATTAATCATGAATTTGCTGGTGGGGGGGGGGGCGTATATATTTTATACGCCAAAAATATAATTAATTACGAGTTTTGTGTAAATTTGCTGTTTTTTTTTTTAACAATTCATTTTATGTCAGTTTTCTGGTTTCTAGCCTACTAATTTAAATGTTTTGTGAAGCTTTTATGTAAAAAAAAAAGTTAGATTTACATTCTTTTTTGCTATTCTAAAATGCATGCAAATCAGTTTTGATACCAAATTTCCATTTCTAAAGAAAGTAGGAAACAAAGAAATTGTCCCATTTTACTGTAGCTGAAGTATAGCCTTGAACTTTCATCTGATTGGTCCGTTATTTATGAACATTTTGAGGTTAACGTAGACAACTTTCAGTGTAGACATGGTGTCGAGAACATGACTGGTCGTGATTTGTACATTTGTCTTTGTTCTCAATATGGGGCCCTCTCAGGTGCAGTCTGAAAATGTACTCACGCTCCAGACTGCGTGGGGTTAACAGCCCCAGATGGAGGGGCGACCTACTATTTATGATGTGACAGTAACATCCAGAGAGGCCTAGTTTATAAAACCCAAGCTTATTGTATCGTACAACACTTACAACTCCCTTGTTTCGCAGATATCAAAGTCAAAGAGCAGTCCATGGAGAATTTAATGAGGTAAGACTCTCACTTTCTGATTTTCTGTGGGGTTGTGCTGATTTATATCTAGTCTGTGGTGCTTTTCCAGGAGGGTCGTTTTGTGGTTTCCAGCAGACATCGAGTTAACATTCATGCAAGTTGCTGGGGGGCAGACTGGTTGAGTTGGAAAAGAATAACAAAAGTAAAAACCGTGGCAGCTTGTTTGACTTGGAAGCATGATATGTTATCATGGACCTTCCCTGGGCCGCCTCCAGAACTGCCACGGTATAATTTTCCCATCTGAAGCCTTCAGAAATATGTTTTATCGGCAACAGTGAACTTCGTCGTCTGCTTTCAAACTTGAACTCGAAGTCTTTCCGAAAAACCTTCACTGGTGTTGAATTATTTCTCGTCGTAGAAGATGGTTGTTAACTCCTTGCTCTCTCCGTGGTGTCCTGTAATTATCTCCCCCCTTGGTCATGCACTTTGTGTAATTTTATATCCAGTCCACATAAACCCCAAATGGGTTTAGTGTTCCACTATGTACGCTATAAGGAGACGAGCATTAGGCCTGTTGCGTGCTCCCTGTTCAAGGCTGGAAAGTGTGCTAATGTCTCCCAGATTTATTGGCACTGTTGTACCATTACTCGGAAATGGAATAACCATATGCTGCATGATTTTGGTCACAGTCAGATGCTTGTCCAGTGAGGTTGGTGCCCTTCACTGCAGGGAGGGGGAAACAGCCCCAAAAAGAAATTCAAAGCATGTCTCCAACTTCCTTAAGTTGACCGATTTCATCAAGGATGGACCATTGGTCCGTTAATGGCTAATGCACCCTAAGTAAAGAATTCAGAGTATTTAACTTTAAAGCTCAGATGTAAATTGCATTAATGGCCACCTACTTGCACAATGTTCTGGGACCACCTGCAACTTAAAGGATTCGTTCACAACTAAATAAAAATTTCCTCACAATTTACTCACCCCCATGTCAAACAAGATGTTCATGTCTTTATTTCTTCAGTCAAAAAAGAAATTAAGCAGGATTTTTCTCCATATAGTGGACTTCAACAGGATCGAATGTCCAAATTTCAGTTTTAGTGCACCGTCTAAGTGTTCTACACAATCCCAGCCGAAGAATAAGGTTCTTATGTAGCAATACGATCTGTCATTTTCTAAAAAAAAAAAAAAAAAAAAAAA